GGTTTACAGCGTGCTTCTGTCTCCGCGCTGTTGTCACCCTTTTGATGACGTCAGCGACGCGGTTTAGTCGGGCGCGGTTCAGTCAAGCGCGGTTTTGTCTGTGAACCCTCTTACAGGGAGGGTTTTTTTTTGTGCAGAAAACAGGAGGAGGAAGGGATTTTAGATATGTTTGTTGTCTTAAGCTATTTATAAAAATAATAAAGGTTGGGTACAAATAAATAAGAACCCCCCCCTCCCCAGGAAACAGTAGATTCGCTTAATGGCAGCTGTGTTCAGTTAAGGACTGTGATGGGGACTTTATGCTGGCTGGGGAATTCTGAGAATTGGAATCCATGGGTCTTAAAATTGTCATGGTCGGACAGGCTCTGATTTATATGATGTCTAGGGGCTAGGAGCACAACGTTTGTTCTTTACGCTACTTCATTCTAATTTTTCTCTTTCTTGCAATAATAATGAATAGTGTGATTATTCACGAATAAAGAGGCCATATAAATCGCTGACAGCATCCTGAAAGCCAGCTAAAGGGATCTCCATCCCTCTGCTTTATTGACATATTCTCATGACAAATCTTCACCAGCCAGAGGTCTTTAAAACCACTTCTGTATTAAGAGATGCTAAATGTTTGATAAACCTGGTCTCTCGAGTGCAATATGTGGTGTTTTATATATAGATTTAAACATAAAATATGCATGGGTCTTTTGGGTTCAGCCACAAACTGGATTTGACAAGTCGCAACGAGCATCATTTTTCAAACCGATTCCAAGCTGGAGAATGCAGGACTGTTGCTTAGCCTCCTCCGTTTAAATTAGCTTTTTTTATTTTTTCCTTGTGATTTGTTATGGGGGGATTTATGGGCATGGAGGGGAAACATTATGCATCGAAGAAGTTAATTACTTTTGCAGGAACAGCAGTTGGCAACCAATTTATGCCTCTTAACCTGAGGTTGGGAGTCAGACTTAATAAGATCTCAGTAAGTCAGTGGCACAGGTAGTTCCAGAGCTGGCCCATTAGAGCACCACTTCGTGACAGTCATGAAATCTACTGCAATGCGCTCTACATTGGGCAGCCCTTGAAGAGTGTTCGGAGACTCCAGCTGGTCCAGAATGCAGCCGCGCGA